CTGTTACCATCATATCTATAATTTTCTTAAAGAAATAAATATCGCTTCCAGGGGGTGCGTATATATTTAACAACGTGACTGGATTCCCCTCAATGTTTCCCCTTACCAAGATACAACGTCCCTCTTTATCACTTATCTCTGATATTTTTTCAAAGAGTAATTTGCTTGATAACAGGATAGCCACTCCTCTCCTTCGTCCAGTTTTATAGGAAGAGTAGAAAACTGTTGTATAACCCATTCTTTTCAGTTTTTCATGTTCCTTACAGTCTAGATGGGTTTCCTGTAGATACACTATTTGTACTTGTTCTTTTTTTCATTTTAGTTAAAATTTTATTGCGTTTAATTGGATTCGACAGGCCATTTACATTATATAATATGATTTTTTTTTTTTACCTTTTCTTTAAGCATATCCTTACTATTTGAATATTATTAATGTAGCAACGACATGTACCATCAGACCACTCCCTAAACATACATAAGCAAACATTAATATTAACATTAAAGCTGTATAAAACAACAGCTACAGAAATAAGCTTTATTTGGTCAAAGAAAAATAAAAGAGAAAAAAAGACTTCCAACTGTGGGGTCTCCGATATGACCCTAAGTAAGCCCCGATAAAAAAAAAAGGGGGCTTCGAGGGGGGGCCTCTCTCACCTCTATGTGACACAGGGCCTTCCTTTGCCAACCTGCCAATGTCCCTTCTACTAATAGCATAGGTAAAACGTCCGCCTATTTTCAATTTCTGCATTTCCACTTCAGTATATTATTTCGAAATAAGAAGTCTTTACCAGTGTATATTGCTAGTTTCCTCAGAGGACATTTTAATTACATTAAACTCACCACCTGTTCCCTTTACGCCTCAATTTTTCAGTTCTGGTCTTTATTTACTTGGCTTCGTGTTTTCCTTTCTATGCGCCACGATAAACGTCGGATCTGTTCCAGAAGCGTCTCCGGGCGTTTGATGATCGTCACCGGGAATCCCCTCTTTGCCATGTCACCTGTCGCCTCCTCCACCGAGCCATATAGCACTGTTCCCTCAGGACAAAAGACTCTCATCTTTGCTGGAAAAGGAGTTTGGAATCAGATTTTCTTGTCTTTTAACCCAGATTTCACCTCTGCATATTCCCTTTGCTGCTTTAAAATCTCTGGTGCATAATCATGATCCAAGTTAACTGTCTTGCCTTGGTAGTCAAGTCCACGCTTCTGCCAGGTCAATTTCAATATTTCTTCTTTCATTCTGTAACTAGACAGTTTGGCGACAATTGACGTGGCGTCGCTCCTGGCGATGGTTTTGACATCAAAGCGCGATGTGCTTTTTCCACTCGTAGCTCAGCGCAGTCCGGCAACTCCAGATTCTGTCGTAATAAACTCTCCACAAATACGACCATTGATGTAGAGTTGTCTTCCGACCCCTCCTTGACACCGTATATTCGAATGTTTTCTCTTCTAGACCGTCCCTCCAGGTCTGTTAGCTTGGCATCCATCTCAATATGCAGTTTGAGCATCTCTGTTACTGCTTCACAATTAGCTTGTACTTGAGTTTCTACATCCACTATTATTTCTTCGACACGTGTTCTTAAAAGCAATTCTCTGTTTTGCGGGCGGAGTGGAAGCCGTTTTGCTTCACAGTGCACCTTAACAAAGTGGGAATGGTGTTTTAATCACACTAATTTTGTGATTCTGACAATATCTCAGCTTGCAGTGATGCAAGCATTTTATTTTAAAAACGGCACAAATGGGAATTTCTTCTGAATGGGGAATATCAGCCTGTTCACAAGCGTTTCATTTAATCAAACCACTAGTTTTGATCTAACTAGTTTTTACACCGCTACTGGGGTTTCTTTCACGGGTTGATGCAATCATTTTATTTAAAAATCGGGATTTTGGAATGCTGAACTAAGAGGGAGACAGAGCCAGCTAGTTTTTCAGCACAACAGATGGTTGCAAATAACATTCAGCCCTTTAGAAAATAAACGCTATTGGGCTACTTCTAAAATACGTTGCACAAGATGTCACCTTTCCCCCCAAAACAGCCAGTATCGCTCTTTCAAACTCATTGTGTTTTAATCACACTCATTTTGTGATTCTGATGTCACAGCATGCAGCGATGCAAGCATTTTATTTATTTAACCCTTGGATGCAAACCTAGCAATACCTACACTCTTCCATGAGTGGGGTCAAAAATGACCCCAAATAAAATCAGTGCATTTTGCTATAAACTCGGTTGTTATTCTTCAAAATCTTTAAAACGAAGAGTTGTAATATTTTCATATTTGAGGTATTCCTCATAAAACATGTTTGTGACATGAGGCCCTTTGCATTTTTATTTATTTTTTCATTAATTTTAAGAAATTTGAGTTTTTGTATCACTTCTATCACTTTTGTATGCTTGCTTTGCATATACTGCAGAAGCTGGGTCTTCCCTCTGAAAGGCACAAGTTGTTCATCCACTGTAACACAATCACTGAGCATGAATTTCTGCCTGCAGTTGACCAGGAACAGGCCACATATGTAGTGGAAAGCTGCCACATGGTTTGTTTTCAGTCAGTAGGCTCTGGTCCTCTTGTCATCAAAGTGCAAGAAACGGTGAATATGTTCAAATCTTTGAATTGACATAGTGGCCTTGAACATGTTATGCAGAGGACTCCCAAAAAGCACACCGACTGGTACATCCCAGTTCTTCTCACTTCCTGCAAGGATGGTCAATCAAATGAAGGCCAGGAGCTTATGTTTGATTACATTTTTCCACTCTTTTCCCCTGTCTGTGGCTACTCTTCGTGCCTCCATGTCTGTGCATGTCAGCAGGAATGTAAAATAATCTAGGACTGCCTTCTTCCATTTGCGCAACATCTCTAAAATTAGAAACATTCTTTCTCAGAGTGATGCTGAAAAACTAGTTCATGCATTTATTACTTCTAGGCTGGTCTACTGTAATTGATTATTATCAGGATGTCCTAAAAACTCCCTGAGTCTTCAGTTAATTCAAAATGCTGCAGCAAGAGTACTGACAGGGACTAGAAAGAGAGAGCATATTTCTCCTGTATTGGCTTCCCTTCATTGGCTTCCTGTTAAATCCAGAATTGAATTCAAAATCCTGCTCCTCACATACAAGGTTTTTAATAATCAGGCCCCATCTTATCTTGATGACCTTATTGTACCACATCACCCCATTAGAACACTTTGCTCTCGCATCATCTTCTGCCCATTGTATTTTCTGTATTTTACAGATGGAACAGACTGACTGGGGGATAGGAAAGGCAGAAAGAAACAAATAGAGGGAGGGAAAGAATAACAGAAGAAGGACAGTGAGAGAAAACCTAATAAAAATACCTCTACTTTCTGACCATGTGGTTGCCTGCTGCTTACCCAAAGTATCATTTTGTTAGCATTAGGTTGTTCCAATTCTTAGAGCATTGCTCTTCTCTTTTCTTAAGCCCTTATCAATTCTCCTACTTTTTTTTCCTTGACCTTGATGATGATTTCAACGAGGTCAATGACAAGAGGTTTAGAAGAAGAAGGTGGAGGTACTTTTGGAACACTTCCAGTGTTTCAAAGCATCTCTGCTTTGTAAGCCCAACAGTTTCTAAGGCTATGTTCACACTGCACGTGAATGCGCATCAAATCCGACTTTTTTGACCCTATGCGACTCATATCCGATTATGGTATGACAGTGTGAACAGCACAAATCCGATATTTTCAAATCCAATTTGAGTCACTTTCGTATGTGGCACTGAATCCGATACATATCAGATGTTTTAGAAAGCGGCTGCTGTGTGAATGGTCAAGTCACACTAAACCTGTCTTTAACGTCACTGACACAAGACAGACGCCAATTATCAGCACTGGAGATGCCCCCGAGAAGACATTGTGAACGCTTCCTGGCCATCCATTGTAGATGTTGGTGAAACTGTTTGGAAGGCAACGTTGGAGAAATGTGAACATTTTATTTATACTGTATAATCTGCATTTCACAGAAATCTGCAACTGTCCTTTGAAGCACCGCATCTCTATAACAGCAATAAGGATCATTATTAGGCCATATGTAAATAACAAAATAACCTAAAGCAAAATAGGGAAACGTAAAGTCCGAAACAAGTCTTTATATTAACGGCCATCAGTCTAACCATACGGTTTGGTCTGGATCTAAACAGAGCGCGTTGTGTGTGACGTCTTCTTTTGTGCATGCGGGCCGCTTTGAGGGTTCACACAGGAGCACGTTTGCTGTCACATTTTATTTGTAGTGTGAACAAACAGACAAAAAAATCGGATTTGATCAAAAAATCGGAATTGAGCATTAAGACCTGCAGCGTGAACGTAGCCTGTAGGAGCCATAATTGAATGTATTGAATTTTTTGATGATCACTGGGTTTTCATTTGTTTGGTTGCTATGGTGATGTGTAATGGGAGTCACGTGGGTGCTAGCAGTGACATTAAGAGGGCGTTGTCAGTCTGTCATTCACTGGTTTTGATTTTGACAGAGAGGAGGGCTGGGTAGCCGTAGTTTTTGTTGACCGCTGCACAACATGTTTCGTCTTGTTACATTAGAGCCTGTGACGTTGTAAGAGTCCAAATCGCGAGATGACATCACTCTGTAAACACTTTAATAAACAAGCAAACAATTCCACCTCTCGCATTATTGTGTAAAGTTGACAGCGCGTCAGGCAAATAGGCAGGCTCCATCCCCGGCCTCTAGCGACGGTGGAAGTTGCTACATAGCCTAAATGTCCAGTATCAAGCATTTCACCCAGATTCTTAGTATTTGGGATTTTTGAATTCCTACTTTTTTGTTTCTTCCTGAACTTTGTAAACTCAAGATGAATGGCCATTTTTTTTAAATGTCTGTCTACCTGTGAGTCCTGCATTCAAGTACTCTATAAAACTTTGTGAGGCACTGGGTGAGAAAGTGAGGGGGTTAACTGCTCTGCCCTGCACTTTGCATTTGACTACTTGTAGGTGTTTTATACATAAATCTGATCTTTGTGAACTGTTTTTTGTTTCAGAATCTGTGGAGTAACAATGGACTTTCGGACATTTGGTGCCACTTTTCTTGTAGGTGTAGGCGCAGGACTTGCCCTTTGCATTAATTGGAGGGAGTTTCACACACAGGTGAGAGTGTAATCGAGACTTTTTGCAGCAGGCTTTATTTTGAGATAGTTTTGTTTGTCACATTAATGTGGATTGATTTTTACTCTTTTTTTAAATGTTAAATCTCAGATCTACCGATACAAACTGGCATTAACATCAGCTGATGCTATCAGATATTTCTAGATAATATCAGTGGAAAAGCTGAATGGATTGAAGCTTCTTCTAATAAGACCTGTCAGGAAGTTTTTATAGTGGGAGTAACATTTCTAACAGGACAAGATGAGAAGTTACCAAAATTCTGTAGTAATGATTATCACAGAACCCATACATTTTATAAGTGATTACTCACAATTATTCCAGATTACAGCACACATGCAAAGCTATTACTACTACTACTACTACTACACAGTCATAAAAGCTCAATTGTGGAAATTACAGTAAAGAAAGAAGCCACTGGGTACTGGAACATTCGGGCACAAAAATGAGCCATGCAGCAATGTGACTAAACGTAAGAGGATGGCAACAGTGAGACACAAATCCAGAGTCCCCCACTGTTAAAAGGTACACTCAGCCTCCCCTCCTACCATGGCAAACATTTACCTCCCTATCTTTCTTCAGTATGGGCAACACTGAAAGTTAAGAAGAGCTCCTCTTGTTCTACTGCCTAAGCCGAATAAAACTCTTCTGACTCTTGATCAAATCCCAGATCCTTGCTGTGATCCTCAATGATCAAGATTCTGCACCTGTACCTGTTTGGTCAAATTGCTCTATCTACAGTATTGGACCTTGCAGCCTAAACTGGGAAACACTGACTTTTTTGTTCACATTTACATGAGTGCCTTAAATATTTTCCTCCTGAAAGTGAAAATTTTATAAATGCATGCCAAAAGATCAGCTAAAAAAATTAATCTTGTTCACAGCTTTCAGTCTCAAAACTGACCTTGTGCCTCGTTAACAAATGTAAAAGATTTTTAGTGTCAGCAGAATGTAACCTAGCAGGACTTAACCTTGTGGGGTCCAGGGTATTATTGGCCATGTTTGAGTACTACTACTAGATTACTACTACTTGATTTTACCTCTATCTTCCACCTTTAAAAACTGTTTATCTTGCCTTGTTTGGTATCATTGTTTTAAGCACAACCTCGCATGTCTAAATATACTGTCATTTTAACATAGTGTATTAACACAATTCATCTAAAAGTTCAGAAAAAAACATGAATGTAACATAAATGCAGCTCCTTCAGCCCAAAGTGCACCATCACCTATTATCATCACACTCTTCCCTCTAAAAAAAATTAGACTCGTCCTTGAGTCCTACTAACATCCATATTCCTTTGACCAAAAATTTATTTATTTTCTTATGTTGAGAGCGTGTATGTTGTGCAACTCCATGACTGTTTCTTGTGCACCTTGTTTTCTTCCTAGCTCTGTACAGGGAGACAAACGAGTTTGTGTATTGATTCAGTATGTATGAGTATGTGGAGTGTGCCTCCCATGTAGTGGATGATACTGGGATGGGATGCTTGGGTGTCGGGTTTATGAAGCGCAGATGCTCCAAAGTGTTGTTCAAAAAACTCTGACTCACTCAGTCTGAGCACAAATATCCAAACTGAATGGACGAAAGCTGCTTATAATCTGATCTACTAGGAAGGTTTTACAGTGGGATAAACATTTCTAACAGGATGTCAACACAACTCTGTAGTTTGCAGAATTCTGTCCTTTCTCCTTTTCCTAACCTCTTTTCTTTCACCTCAATGAAAGCAACAGAGGTTAAGGAAAAGAGTCTGTCGGATTGGTGCTATGGCTGTAGTGATGTGGACACTGTACCGGTTCACCGTGGTGAAAACAGATCTGAATGTAAAAGCAGAGTTATCAATTTACAGGCCGATCTACATCCCTGCTAGAGATTAGTGATGGGATTTCCGGCTCTTTTTAGAGAGCCGGCTCTTCCGGCTCCGAACCGGCTCTTCAGGTTGTTTTGTTGCTTTAATTCATTTATTATTAACAATAATATAAAATTAAGCACAAAAGGAATTACTAACGTAAAAAAATTTGGTTTTATTTATATATGTTTTTATATAAATATATGCGGTGGCCCCTAGAGACAAAACACGTACAAACTCCAAAACACATTTCTAGCATGAACTGAACTTCCAAAGCAGAGCTACTAGATCACTTAAATTACACAATTGAAAGCATGTGTGTATTGTTTGTGTATTTATACACAGGCACTCATATATATTCAAATAATTTAAAAAAAATGTTCATTTACCTGTTACTACCACACACCAAATCCGGTCGTTGGTACTTGCTGGCTTGTGTAGCCACTAGGTAACAAAAGCTCAACACTGCGCCCTAGAAACCTGGAGCACTTCTGTTGTCTTTTGTACATGTTTTGAGTTTTTACGTGTTTCTGAGTTTTTACGTGCTTCGGCGTTTGTACGTGTTTTTACGTGCTTCGCAGTTTGTACGTGCTTTGGAGTTTGTACGTGCTTGTACGTGATTTGAAGTTTGTATGTGCTTTGTCTCTAGGGGCCACCGTAAATATACTTTTATTTATTCACTCCACATAAAATGTAATAAATAAATCATATAATACAAAAATCAACTATTCACATTTCAAATTTTAACTATTTAAATTTTCAGCTTTTTCCTTTTACAAATTTAAAGTGAAACAACACAAAACACTGCAAACCACAACACAATTAAATATAAATTAAAATATGAAAACAAAAAGAAGATGCATATTCTCTGTCATATGGGCCTGCATGAATAAACTTTCTGAATCCTTTATCATCTGCAACCGAAAATAGTTGTGGATGATTACTATACCTTTCTAATGTGATGTTGTTGTCCCTGGCTCTCTGTCTCACCCTCCTGCTCTGTTCCTGTGCTACTGAGTGTAACTACCGCCCCTCCCCCCTCTGCCCAGCGTAAAGCACGAGGCTCGTGTGCGGAGTGAAGCGGAAAAAAGTGCGAGAGAGAGGGTGAGAGAAAGAAAAAAAAAAAAAACCTCACGGCTCGCGATAAGGAGCCGGCTCGCGTCGTTCACGTCAAGGAGCCGGCTCTAAGAGCCATTTCGTTCGCAAACGACCCATCACTACTAGAGATGTGCAAAGCAGACGGTATTTGTATCTGTATTTGTGTTTCTTGAGGGGGGGAAATTATATGTATTTGTATTCGAGTAAAATTCAAAATAGTAATAAAAATATTTTTTTTTGCATTATACTTCTAATTAATGTTATAGTGCAAGTATTCTTTAAATATATCCATTATAATAATTGTGTATATGCAATATTGGTTGATGTTTTCCCATAAATCCAGAAATGAACATGTAACAAAGAACGTCATTGAAAAGAAAATAACAGCCATTGCCTCAATGATGGTTAAAACCAATAACTAATAAAATACCATTGTGGACATTTTGAACCCCACCACCACCTGTCCTTGTTGGAGGATGCTGAACAGACAGTGGACTTGCAGGGGCAGAACATTGCTGTGATGATGAATTGGTTCTGGTGGGGGGATTGGTGCTTGTGGTGGGGTTGGCAGACAGTACGAGAATAAAATGCTTTAAGTGCACATGATTATGCATAACAGACATTGACAGATGTTTGATATATCTGCCTCTGCTGATTTGGCTTTTGCACACATTACATATTACTTTGGTGTAATCTGCAGCACTGAATGTAAAATGCTTCCACAGAGAACTTGATCAGGTTTTTTTGGCTGGTGGAGGACCAAGAGGTGGCTCAGCAGCAACACTCTTTTCTGTTTGGTTGACCAAATCCATGTGGAGAGTATCAAATCCGGTTCTTTTACATTCTTTCACTGACAAAGAAAGACCCAGACTCAGTGTGGTCAACGCTAGCAAGCATCAACAGGTCTAAAGCATTACAAGCCGAATGGGTATTGTCAGGAAGCGCTGTGTGGCAGGCAGGAGATGATTACTCAAAATGCAGGACTCTCAGACATGAGGGATGAACTCAAGACCACAGCTTTATTTGCTGGCAGAGGAAAATGAGCATCAAAAGCAAACTAAACTAAACTGGGAAATCACAAACTAAACTCACAGGGAGACACAGGGAGATCCACACAGCATGAGGGACGACGCGACACTGACGCAGAGAAACACAGGGCTTAAATACACTGGGAAATAATGAGGGGACACAGAAGGAGAGCACAACTGGGGGAAATCAGAACTGATGAGATAAGGAAGCAAAGTACGATAAACTCACAAGAGACACAGACCTTCAAAGTATAACAGGAAGTAGCACAGACGAAGACTTGACTAGGGGAGACAGAGCAACTAAGAAAGAAAGAGAACAACAACAAAGAGACACAGAGGGCAGCTACTAAATACTCCGAAAACGTTGATGGTTTGAAAGAGGAGTGAAAGTAGCCATCTATGTCCACAGTGAGCGACCATCTTTGAACAGAGGCGGTGGTTTACAACACCAACTCTCTGCCATCTATAATCCAGTTTTGAGTTCCTTTCCCAGACGCCTTAACACCCACTCACATCCTGGGCCATCTGACCTCAGGAAATCTTATGATAGAGTGGGGCCAGGTTTCACAATGAGCTCACGCTGGCTGATTGAGACCCACACCCATTTTCACACCTTGGCTCATGTGATTAGGTAGAGGAACATCAGGGGGTCCTATTGTCCCTCTTTGGGGGGCGGGTTACTTCCATTGGGTTTAAAACTAAGACAGCACCTCGCGTTTATGCCGGGCTGTGAGCTGCCCTGCCTTTATTTCCTACACTCCCTTTTCACCCAGAATCACAATTTGAACCCACTTCTGACTTCCCTCACTGCTCATGGTAAAACCCAAACAGATGTAATTAGCTTTTCCTAGTAAAGGTCCTAGATTACCTTTGTGAATCTGTGGAAACAGTCTCTATAGAGTTAACCCATTTCCTCTTTAAAAAGTACTCCTGTTTTCTAAGCACACAACTTACAGTTCACTTAATTCTACCTTTCGGGTGGAGCATATCGGGCATGACCGTTGTGTTTGGG